TGTTAGTCCAAGTTTACGAGGATAATATCATGAAGACAAAGGCAGTATACAAATGGATTAAATGTTTTTCTGAGGGGAGAGAAAGTGTCACTGATGAAGAGAGGTCAGGGTGGCTGATAGTGAGCAGAACTGACAAAAACATTGTAAAAATTCATCAAACTGTGTGTCAAAATCATTGACTGACTGAGAGAAGCATAGAAATACCAAGTAAATATCAATAGAGAAACAGGAAAATCTTAACTAAAAATATTGGCCAACAACTCATGGCTCTAGCATCACAACAATGCACCAGCTCTCACAGCCTCTCTGTGAGGGAGTTTTTAGCTAGTAAACAAATACCTGTATGGGAACACTCTCCCTACTCACCTAATCTGGTCCCCAATTACTTTTTTCTTTACTTAAAGATAAAGGAACTATTGAAAGGAGGATGTTTTGATGACATTCAGAACATCAAGGGTAATATAACAACAGCTTTGTTGGCCATTCCAAAAAACAAAGAGTTCCAAAATTGCTTTGAAGGGAGAACTAGGCACTGTTGTCAGTGACTGGCTTCCTAAGGGGAGTGCTTGGAAGATGCCTGCAGCAATGAGGTATGTAGCGCTTTTTCTTTGAATTTTATTGTTTCCATTGTTCACCTGGATCAGACTGAGTTACAGCAGACTCAAATAACTATATCATACCCACAGGTTAATTTAACTAACACCTGCTAAGTTAATTAATCAATTCCAGAAAACACAATATGTATAAAACTATGACATTAAGACAACTATAAATGATGTTCTTGATTGCCCTGTGGGTATGAAAATCTAATTTTTATTAAAAATATATGTCACATACGTAGTGGCAAATATGATATTATAAAACAAAATTTAAATGTCTCTTTCCCTCTGGCTACTTGGCTTATGAATTATAAATGATTTTCATTTTTTAAGTGCTTATCTGAATTTTTCAATATTTTTACTGTAAATATGTATTCATTTATGGTAAGAAAATACTATTAGTATTATGATCCTCTTTGTCATATGAGAAAATTGATTTTTTTTATTTGACTTGTAAATATGTTTAGATTATAATAATAGAGTGTTTGTTTTGTGCCAGGAAACTTCTCCATGGTTTTACTGGAGGTTAACTATAGTATAGTGGTTAAGAAGGCAATTCCTTGAACCTTCTACTTGACTTAAATCTTCACTATGTTATTTGTAAGAAACTGTGTGATCTTGGGCAAGCCATTTAGCCTCCCTGGGCTTTCATTTTCTGATTTTTAAAATGAAGAGAATAACATCTATATCACAGGATGTTAAATGACTTAAAATAAATTGTATATGTAAAATACATGGCACAATGTAGTACACTGTATTAGCTATTCCCAAAATATATTAACTCATTCAAATTTTATAACTCCATAAGCTACACATTAATGATATTATTAACATTAATATCCATACTTTTATTTATTTATTTATTTTTTTGAGACAGAGTCTCAAACTGTTGCCCTGGGTAGAGTACTGTGGCATCATAGCTCACAGCAACCTTAAACTCTTGGGCTTAATTGATTCTCTTGCCTCAGCCTCCCAAGTAGCTGGAACTACAGGCACCTGCCACAATGCCTAGCTATTTTTTGGTTGTAGTTGTTATTGTTGTTTGGCAGGCCCAGGCTGGATTTGAACTCACCAGCTCTGGTGTACATGGCTGGTGCCCTAGCTGCTTGAGCTACAGGCGCCAAGCCATATCCCTACTTTTAGATGGAGAAACCAAAGCTCAAAAAATGTTAAATGATTCACCCAGAATCAGTATGGGACAGGGCTAGATTTGAACTAGGGTTCTGTTGGTCTGGTATCTGTGCTCTGAATTATTCTACTGAATTGTCTCTTCGGATTACAAACAGCCCAGTAACTTTCACAGGATGGGTGAATTACTGGTAAGTAATAAGGAATGCATGATTTCAGCTTGTGTGATGCCATGAAATTAATATGATTTTGGAAAACAGATAGTACTCATCTATTTTAAAATATTCAGTTAGATGATTAAAAAGTAGACAGTTGTCCCTGGCACTTGGTAAACTAATTTAGTCAAATCATATATCCTTAGGACAAGGTAGAATTCTTTCTCTTCTCTCTCTCTCTCTTTTCCTCCCCATTCCACCCCATCCTATCTAATCCTCTACCCAGCTAGCAACGCGTTGGCTTTTGTCTTTTTATGTGAGGGCCCATATTTATAATGCAAGGCTTGTATCAGATACAGTCTTTTTCCTGATATATAAGTGAAACCTCAGAAGCTACTGGCTTCAATGTGGAGTTCAAATTCTTATCCCTAAAATATTTTACACAAATTTTTGTTATAGCCCTTACATTTCAGTGCTTTAGATGGAAAAATGTTTGAGGTCAGAATAATACATAAATGGTTTAAAATATTTTTAGAGTAGATTAACAATACAGAAGACAGATACACGAGTTATTTGGTGTATAATTGCTGATGTAATGGGAACTGTAATATTACCAGAAGAGAAGGAGAAAATCAGAGACATTAAATATTTATGCTTGAAGAATATTCTAAGTTCAATCAAATTTCAACTAATCATAAATTTTTTTAAAAAATTATTTTAAATTGTAATATATAAATATCAACCTAATCCTACACTCCCTGGAATGGCTTTGATGTTTCTCCCCTTTCAAATTAGTTAAGATCAGGGGTTGTCAACCCTGGCCACATTAGAATCACTAGGGTGGGGTGGGGGTTAAAAATTCTAAAGTCCATCTTGCCTCCTTGACCATAATCTGTGGGGGAATGGACTCAAGTTTCAGTATTTTTCTATAGCTCTCCAGATGATTTCAATGTACAGACCACTTTAACAGATTACTGAATATTCATGTACATTGAATTGAAGGCTGGCTTTTGAAAATTCCTCTTTTTATTAGAAGATCAGAATTTACTTCTCAGCCACTTGAAGCTTGGCTTTCATCACAGGAGCAAGTATCTTCCCATGGAGTAAGGATGTTCAATTTGGCAGAACTCAAGCACAGGAAGAACCACAAAGGACATTATTTATCTTTTCTCTGGACTTGCACAATCATTGTATGAGAATATGTTTATTTATTAGAATAATAAATGAGTGACTCTGTTTTTAAATTCGCATGTGAGATTCTCAGCATCCTCAAAGAAGGACCTTTCATAGTCTCTCAAATCTCGAACTCACTTCTTATCTTTCTCTGCTCTCTGAATATATATGAGTTTTGGCAGGCAGAATTTTCATTGACTGAAATCAAAGTGAGGATTATTTTTAACCCTTTCCCATCCCCCAAACTCGAGATATTTCAAGCAGGATGAAGAGCTGGAAATTGGGCCCCTTCCTTTGAAAGAAAAATGCAGGGATACACTATTCTTAGAACTCTATTGCCTTCCAAGAATCTTACATTTGTTGATAAATCTAATAGCTTTATTGTTGTGGAACGGAGAGTCTGAGCTTTCTTTCCAGCCTGGGAGTATTTTCCTGAATAAATAGAGCTCAGGCTGTTGTCAGACACCAACTAAATGAAAGAGCCATCGTTTAATAGCTGAGGCAGGAGACACTGGGTGACCCCTGTAGAGGAGAGAGTCACAAAGGTAAACTGAGACGGAAAATTGGTTGATTTCAGGAAAGACATGGAATTGCACCCTGGGGTGACTCAAGTTGTTTCAGAGGATGAGTGGCAACGGAGGTGACAGAACTTTACTGGCCTGAAACAAATATAGAAAAGAAATGAATAAATTTTGTTTGCTTCTTAGTGGGGGAGAAACAAATGTGTGCAGTGAATTTTCTCCCTAAGATTGAGGCTTATAGCCTGCCGTTAGCTTCCTGAATATACCACTTACTGGAAGCAAAGATTGCACAGCCATATTAAGACATGCCTCTAAATAATCTGAAGGGAGGCGGGGCAAGGCAATGAGACACGAGAGAAAATACTCTTTCCCTACACTTCGGTGTCAGTTTTTCTCAATTCCTTGCCTTCTTCATGCTCCCCGCTAATCCTTCATTTTTATTATTCTCCTTACATATTTGACCATTGTGGACAGCATCCATAATGTGCCAGAATTGTCTGAATATTAAACCTTATTATGCAATTGGGAAACTAAGGACATCACATCTGAGTAGTTTACTTGTTTTCATTTAAGCATTATAAAACTCCATGATATGACCTCACAATATCAGTAGCAAGCAGGTTTTATATGTTAACTGGCTGCAATATATGAAAATTGTTGGCAAAGTGACAATGAGATCTTTCATCTATGTGAGAACTTAAAAACTGAAAGTAGATCATTTAATTTCCTATGATCCTGAGACTTTTTTTCTTCTCTAAGCTTACTCATCGTATTCTAAAAAAGTATAGGAAACATGTTGGAGTCTACCTTATTGTCTGAAAGGCAATGCCTCACACTCATTTAAGTGTGTTCCAGTGAAGTCATGGCACCAGCCATAGATACTTTCACCTAAGGATTCATTTCCATATACCAGGAAAACCCAGAAACTAGTTTTCATGGTGAAAATACAAGGTAGGGATGGAAATATTGGAAAATGTGTTCCTTGTTACTGGGACGGAAAGCACTGCAAAGAAGGACTTTACTACCAAAATGAAAACTTTTCTTTTAATTCAGTATTCATAATGAAGTTTAAAAGCATTTCAAGTATATTAATCTAATCAACAATATCACAGATTTCTGGGATCATTAACCTGGTGAGCAAGATAAATTATGCTACAAATTGTATGCAATGAGAAAAAAAGCCAATAGATTTTGGGACAGGACTATTGCTGATTTGGTGACACCATAGATATGCTTTTCTTTTCTATTTTTTTAACTTTGCAAAAAAATCCTAGGAAATGGGAATTGCTATATGTTTACAACATAAACTTAAATGTATCAGAACAAGGATGGGTTAAATGCCTTTTTTTGAAATAATGTATTTACAGAGTTTGACAGAAAGCAAAATAGCTAAGATTCTATAACTCAGAAGACTCAAAAGATACTGCAGTAACACAAAATTGACTTTTAATATTTGTTTACCAGTTCATTGTATCTTACAGAAAATGAAAACATTTTTTTGGTGATACAGATTGGTTCTTATTCTCAAATTTATACTTGGTATCTATTAAATGCCTTTAAAGACTGATTTTCTTTTAATCAGGTGGTTTAATGACTTTTATTTTTCATGTCTTTTAGTGTGTACCGATTCCTGCTCTGGCAGTAGTGAGCGATGATGATTAACTTCTCAAGAAAACCATGTCAGTTATCCATTGATCTTCCTTATGCTAAAACTGATAAGTGATTCCCTTTACTCATCTCCTACTTAGTGGTCAGCTAGTCCATGAGACCACCTATTCTTCGGAGTACTAAAACCAAGAAACCCAGTATGGCTGCCAGCAACCAAATTGGAATCTCCTTTGAGTCTACTTCTAATTGCCAAAATAATAAGCAACTATATTATTGCATAAAATAACACTTTAACAGGTACCGGCCCCCTTTTCATGAGAGAATGTTTAAATTTACAAATACCATATTTGGCTAAAAATTACTGTGATAAAATATGGCAGCGATCATTCAAAGATGGCTTCCAGTGTTAAGGTGACCAACTTGTTTTCACTTCCAATGTTCTTATATGAATTGCTTCTTTTTGTTCCAATTTTCAAATGTAGGCATTTTAGTGAAATTTGCAGATATACTTTGTGTTAATTATGAACAAAATAATCGAAACAAATTTTCCTAGTTCAGCTTCCCATCTCATCCCTCTGATATTCTTGCAATCCAAGTCTAAAGAGCAACTTCTGAATTGGCCAGTATTGCACCGACATTCTGTCAGGCTTGTACTAGAATAACCTTTTCTTTTTTCAGACATTCTCAGTGAGATATATTAGGAAATGAAATAGGAAAACAGACGTTTGGTGGAAAAAACAGCAAAATGAGAACATTAAAAAGACTCATTCAAGTAGAAGTCTAAAGGGCATGGAAATTCTGATCCTTTGGGCAAAATCCGAAGATAAAAATTCTGCTCAGCAGTATTCACTGTGTTAAGATTTTTGTTTTTGTTTTATACAAGAATGGCAAGACAGTGTGCAATTGGTATAGATTTTAATCAGCTAACAGTCACTCCAGAGATTTTAATCAGCACCAATTCCTATGCGAATAAGTATTTAAAAGTTAAGAAATGCTACTATACTTAACATTATACAGGTCGAGTGCTGCACTAGTAACTGAAAATTATATGCCTGAAAAGAAATTTGTTCTCACTTATATTTCCAACAAATTTCTTGTAGCATAGATAATAATACTTCAAGTATGGACTTTCTCCAGTGAGCTTGCCCCCATATTTCAGGTGTTAGAGTTGTCACTTTGGAGATAGTCCCTTCTTTCAATGATATAATAGTCTTATCCTAGGCCATTCAGGTATCTTTAATTTAGAAGGATGAGTTCTATTTATACCAACAGGGTTTAAGTTTAAACTCACAATCTCTTTGGATTTGTAGTTTTGTACAGCTTGCATATCCAACCTAACTTAAAAATGTGCATGCATACATTGTCATCTTTTACTATTAAAGCATCTGAACATTTCTAGGTATTTTTTGATGAAAGAAAGGATCTACTTTTATTTACATTTTTTTTCTAGATAGCATATGAATATGGTTCTGTTTTCATGGACTTCCAATTGTTCTATACCTTCCACACACATAACTCTACATTTATATTTATTAGAATTATTACAGAGCTTTAAATGCAACCACAATCAATTCAGGAAACAGATTTATTTACTCATGTTCATGGAAGGAAAATCTACATAAAAACATTCTTGAAAGCATACCAGCTATGTCATACTTGGATTATTATACTAAATCCCATTTACTAGAAGTCATTTGTGAAACGATGGGAAACCATGAAATGTAATTTGAATACAAATATTGGTCCCTGTGGGGTCTCAGCAGTCATAAAAATATAGAAAAACAGAGCTTTATTTAAGATCGGAGCTGCTAATGTGGAAAGTTGTTGTTGTTGTTTGAAGCTGGACTTAACCTTTTATTTAAAGGCCTGAAGATTCTAGTGTAAACTCGTGGATGACAACGTCAGCATTTCATTTAAGCCTAGTGATGACCAGCAAGGAAAGGGACACTATTGAGCACATTTTCTATTTGGGAGAACGTTTAGACCTACATTGTTGACCTTTCCTCCCAAACACAGGCACCAGCTGGACTTTCTGGTGTGTACAGAAACAGGAATAATAAGAATTTTGAAAGTTGGGTCTTTGTTTCTTGGCTAGTCAAGTATATAGTTACTCTTTTATGTTGTAATTTTTTCACATAACGTAAATAAAAAAGAAATATTAAATAAAGTTATTTTTGTAGGACAATAACATTTTATAGGCTAACATAAAATCAAGCTGCTAAGTTTTACCATTTATCTGTCCAGCAGTTTATCTATAGAACTGCCCTGAGTAGATGCTAAATGCTGCTTAGCAAATGGCCCTTAGAATTTAAATATAACTCAGTAAAGCTACTCAAAAGATAAAACAATTCTTCCTAGGCATGTGTAATTTTAATGATAACATGGCAGAAGTTTTTCATTGGTTAACTATTCTCTGCTTAAGTCTCATACTTCATATAAATGGAATTATGAAGGAGTTATAGCTGTGCTTGTTCCTGTGCACTGGAATCCATATGAATTTTGTTGTTGTTGGTTTTGGTCAAAAAGGCAGAATTTTAAAGAGTAAAATAGTCTGTTTATTGGAGGCTCGAAATACGAACTTTTAGAAAAGTATAGATTGTTCCCTTGTGAAACAGAGTTTTGTGTAACTTCTCAGTTCATGTAAAGAAGCCTGTATTTCAAATCGTTTGTTGTAACTGGTTCATGGTAGTGCATTTCAAAATTGTACAAATGTGTAAAGTTTGTGCTTGTGAGAGCCGCTGCTCTGAGCAGCTTTCCTTGCCTCAACTTAACCCTAGCAGTTCTCAACCTATTGCATGGCCCGTTCGTGGAAGGTTACTTTGTTGGGAGGAAACAGCTTAAACAGTTTAGCTCTAAAGCCTTCTTATGTAAAGCTTCCCTTAAAATTATATTAATTTATAATATATATTGAATGATAGCTTTACAAAAACAAATCAATGAATTGGTCTTTATGAAAATGACTCTTTACAGTAAGTAAAAAAGGGTTATCACAGTTTTGGTAGCTTGCGTGAGTTCATACTGACAACGAAACCTTTCACATGTTCTTGGTGACTTGAGAACCGACACGCTCTGGGGGCGCGCTCAGTTGTACGCTCGGAAGCAGTAGACACCGTACAGCTTATGCTTTTTATCTGGGAACCCCACGAAGCGCACCGCGGCCTCGGTGGGGCTGCAGCGTCTCCTGGGCCTGGAGATGGGGTAGCGGACGCTGCCATCCGCCAACCAGCCCGCGTCGCAGCGGTCATAGCCCAGAAGTTTCCAGGCAGCGAAGATCTGGCCCACTTTCGCGATCTGAGCACTGTCATTGAGGCAAGCTTGCACGGCTTCGTCGTAGGTCAGTTTGGTGGGGTGGATCAGATAGTAAAAACGGCCTGGGGAGAGAAGGGGACAGGTCAGTGGGCCGGTCTGTGACAGCCACCGAGAGAGGGAGGGAGGCCACAACGGAGGAGTTGCCTCCATGCAGGGGACTGCAGAGCGACACTGGAGAGTGGGGCACAGCATTGTCTAGGAAATGGAGAGCCCCCAGGTCACTCTCTGCTAAATTAGTTTTTTCCCTGGCCCCGTAGTATGTGTTCAGACATGCCCTTTAAAGCTTTAAAAAGAAAAAGGAAGTGACAGATGCAGTTTCTGTTAGCTAATTAGTGACTAAAAGGGCCCTTCTGTGGCACTAGAGAAGACGGAATTCCATGTTAAAAGCAAGAGCTATTTAAATTCTAGCTGTGGCAAGCCTGGACCCCAGCACAAGTTTCTGGAGAAGCAAAATTTGAATGTGAAAGGATCAAAAAAAAACGTTCCTGACAGAAAAGTCCATTTACAAAAAAATCAAAAGCCCGCAAGTCCTTTTCATTACAGGTATCAATAAGACATTATTCTCACTCCAAGACTACAGTATGACAACGCATAAAATCCAGGAAGTCACTTGCCACACATAACACGCACTCAGCATGGGAACCTACTTGGTGCTCGCTCACTAGCAAAGATGATGGATTTGGGTTTTCTTTTCACTGGCCATCTGTTGGAGCCCTGACACCATTTCTTGGTTTTGTAAGGAAGATAAGTTAGTCTCAATCGCTTACTGAGTAGTGCTGTTTACTGAGGTTGCTTTACTATGTATTAGATATGAATAAAATACGACTTCAACTGACGTAAAGTGATACACACGGACTGATTATTTTCTCAGTCATCCTCGTTTTAGTTTTAATGAGACTCCCTTATCTGACTGGATTGTGATGTGTTGTCCCCTGCCTCTCATTAAATACCTATTATTGATCAGAAATTAATGCTTGCCAGTTCTTTCTAGACTGAAATGATGTGATTTAGAGAAAGGGTAGAAGCCCTTGGAACATTCGCTAGAATGTTAGTTCTATCATCTATACCAGAGGTCTGCAAACTATGACACACGAGTCAAATCTGGCCTGCTCCCTGTTTTTGTAAATAAAGTTTTACTGGAACACAGCCATGTCCATCTGATGAGTCCTGTGTGTGGCTGCCTGAGCTACAGAGTGGAAAGCTATGTTGAATAGTTGTAAAAGGTAGTGTATGACCAGTGAAGACCAAAATATTTACTATCTAGTCCCTTATGAAGAAGATTTGTTGACCTCTGATCCCTTTCTATTTTTACCAAAGGGTGTTACCAGCAGCCTCAAATATAAAAATGATCAGGCTGCGGCTTGCTTTCATGGGCGTGTGACCTGTGCACTCACAGTGGTCCCCACACGTAGAAGGTCACCATATGTGGTTCAACGCTCTGCTATCATTGTCTTACAATTCTTTATATTTTTGCAGTTTTGGCCAGGGTCGGGCTTGAACCCACCACCCCTGGTATATGGGGCTGGCCCTCTACTCCTTGAGCCACAGGAGCTGCCCCAATTCTTTGTATTTTTGAGCAAGAAGTTCCACATTTTTGTTTTATCCTGGTTGCCACAAATTCTGTAGCTCTAATTAATATTTGTTGCTCACTTCCCTCCTTGTATGTGGTAATTGGGAGAGGGAGAGGGTGGGTAATGCTGGAGCCTCCCTTACTTTAACCGAGAGAGCCATATTTTGTGGAGGGCACACAGTGGTGGCAGTGTCTTTAGCAATAGGAGATAAACCTCATACCGCATGAAAATCTATCTATGTCAGTAGGATGTAATCAAGTCTAAGAGTACTGGAAATAAGTGTTTGGGGTTCAATTTTGTGGATATTTAAAAAAAATATGACGTTCAAGGACTTTTCATATCTTAAACTAGAGCAATACTTCAAGGTTTTCTCTTTTTGATCTATTTAAGTTGATTAAAAGTCAAGTGGAGTGTTATCCTACGTAGTACAGATGGGTCTCTAGGATAGAAAGGAAAGCAGCACAGTTAGTATCTTACCATTGAAGTTGGATGTAAAACAGAAAACATCATATCTGCTTTTATCTTTATCCCAAAACCCGTAGTTCCTGACGCCGGGCACCGTGTTCTGGCCCCCACAGGGCTCTCGGGGCTTGGTGATGGGATACTGCACAGAGCCATCACTAAGCCAGCCGGCGTTGCACCAGTCCAGCCCGCCCCGCCAGGCGTCATACAGCTGATCAAAGGAGGCGATCAGAGCGTCCTGGTCCAGACAGGCCTGCTGGGCCTCATGAAAATTGAGATTGTAGCGCCCAAGTCGTGGAAAGTAAGGGAATACCACACCTGTCCAAAGGAGAAGGCAAGGGCTCAGTAACCACAGGAAAAGTAACAATTCAGACTTGACGTGAAAAACACTTGACATGAGAAACAATAGAATATGTACCAGATGAGGGAGCCGTCTGGTCAACTACCAAGGGTTCCTCATGGCCCCTTTCCCCTTAAAACAGCCTCTCCATTCTGAGTACCTCACAATTAGCTATTTGGTTTGATAGCTTCAGTGACTTACCTCTTTTGTCAAGAACTTAACCAGCGCCATGAAATTCTCCTTTCTGAAGAGATCTGTCCCAGTTTCCAAATAGCCCTCCCGGAGAACTCACCTTCCACGACCAATCCTCCAAAAACTTCCAACTGAGCCCTTTTCCCCTGGGGGAAAGTCAGTACGGAAATACTAAGGGTCGGCGGCGGAGGACGTGGAAATGGTCAGTACTGAATGCTGAGAGTGGTGGGGGATGCAGGACTTAAAGAGAGGTATTTGTTCAAAATTTGCAATTTATTTAGTAAATATTTTTTGATTAATAATTAAAGTTTTAATTAATAATGAAGTTTCTTTTAAAGAAACCTTTGGATGTATAAAGGAACTTGTTAACCAAAGATTCAAATGTAGATATAAATTTCTTCCTTTGACATGCAGATAATAACTTGCAGATAAGTGATTTCCAGTTAGGTAGCTTCTGGGGTAGGGAAACTCTGGAGAGAATTTCTTTGCATAGCTGACAAAAACTTAAACACGTTTTGTCTTAATAAGACAATTCTGTACAGTGAGGCATGCCTTCATAAAAAGCATTCTGGCTTTCTTATCTGTCTTAACCCTTCATGTAGCCCTTAATCTTAATTTCCCCCCACCTTTAACTGAATCAGCATGACTGAAACAAGGGCTTTCATTGAAAACGTGCTTTACCATTTTCAACATCCATATTTGTATACTGCAAACTGAAACTAAGGTGGTTTTTTTTTTTTTAAACTATATAAATACAAAAAATGAGCTTTCCTAAACTTGTTCTATAAAAGGTAGGGTAGCATTTGCAGATGGACTAATTAATGCTTAAGAATTACTGCAATACTTTTAAGTTTTTTATTTTTATCTATCTAAGTAGATAACATGAAAAGCCAAGTGTAGTGTTAGCCTACGTAATTCTTCAAAACTTTGAAGAATTGAAGAAAAAGCAGAGTAGGCAGCTGCTGATTGACTTATTAATGCTCAAGAATTGAAGTTAAATATTTTAGAAGATAAAAATCCCTTAGCAAACGTAAATAGGGTGACTTGGCACTTAACTTTATCTGGGAAAGTATAATGGCTTTCCCAAAGCATTTCTTTGAGCAAAGAGGATCTTTGGGTCAAAGAATTATGAGAGGTGATAGAGCTGTCTCTATATTCTGCACAATTTCTCTATAGGGTGAGGATTACCAGTTAAGAGAGCAAAGTTGCATTCTTTCCGGAACTTTAAGAAGTACCACTATGTCACAGCATCCCCCCCATGTTATTAAAAGATAATTAATGTAGAATGAATATTCAGAGCTTTCCTTGAATGTTTGGTATAGTTAGAAATAATTAGAGTTTTAGCTTGTGGAAGGCAATTAGTGTTTTGCTGACACTAATTGGGTGGGTTACAGCACATGTGCTATGTTATGAGACTAGAGCCTGTTCAAGATGATACACAATTCACTAACAGCTTAAGCAGTACATAGGAAATATTTTCTTTTATAAATTGTCCTAGAAGACTCTCCGAGGAGAAACGTCAATAGTCTTAAATCAAGCCATGTCCACTGAAGGCCTCTATAGGACACGTTTGTCCCTCTAGGGCAGTCCAGCTGGCACTGTCCACGAAAGGCAGAGATCCAAGAAGGCTTCCTGATCTCATTCTGCCTTCTCAGGTTCTTGGCTGAGAGATCTATAAGCTGAATCAGAGCCAAAAACAAAGGAGAAAAAGACTCTCTCAGTCGCCACCAACTCCTGTAGTGAAGGGGAGGAAAGCCTGGAGATGGTTCTGTCTAAGAGGACTTTGCCTGGGCACTGAGCTAGGAACCCAGGGAGCACTGAAAGTAGCTACCATAATGCTCCCCTCTCCCCCTGTCTTTATCCTCTTTGCTCAGCAGCCCTAGGAATGCTGATGAAAGGGAAAATATTCAGTTTGCCAGTCAAGATTCTTTCAGCAGCTAGAACTCCAATGAGGATAAATCTCAAAGTATCTCAAGAGAGAGAAAGAAGCCACTTTGGTTGACTTGCATTTCCCAAATAGCTCAAGATGGTAACAGGAGACAATGTTTAATTTCTAATAATTTTAGAGATCTGGAAAAGCTTTCAGGTTTAAGTTCACGGTAGTATATTTTGGTGGACTTTCACAAGCATTAGGAAAAAATTTTCTTTAGTAATTTGTCTTTGATTAACCACAGGAATGTGATTGATTGAGTTCCAAATCCAGTATATTTTTATTTGACATTTAACAGAATGAAATTATATGGAATTGAACATAATTTAATTCAGCCATTTCTTAAAGTTAAGGTGAAATCTTACATTAAAATTTTATTATTTTATAACCATAACTATAAATGGTCAATTTACTATTGTGTTAACTCAAAAGACTTATCAGGTTTTAATTAATGTTTGATGGTGGCAGAAAGAACACAACTTCTATGCCTTCCTCAAAGTTTTAAATGTTTCATTGCATTGTACACATTTCAACAATCAGATGTTTTTTATAAGCAGGGACATTTTTGAAACTACATGTTTATTAGTATTTTATGTATTTCCTTGTTAAACTTCTAGCTAGTTAAGATTTCAACATCCAATTGCAGAAGGCTTTTTGGCTCTCTGGAAAAACTTGCAGTTCTTACAGATGAATAATGGAGGAAACGGTTGCTTTCATCCAGTGTTGCAAAAATAAGAAAAGTTAAACTATTATGGGTGGGAAAGAAGGATGTTTGATTACTTTCCAAGGAATATCTGGTTCATTTATCCTTTATACGCACATGTCAAAATATAACCAAAAGCTCTTTGCTTTTCCCTGAAAGGCTGGTTTATATTATCACAAAGGCAATTAATAAGGATGATACATCCCATAGAAAAGAATAATACCAAATGATGTGAGGAGTTCAGCTCATTGAAATATGCTTGGAGGACATATTCTTTACGATTTATAATTACACAGCCCAATTCATCTAAGTTGTAGGCAGATAACAATTTGTTAAACATATGAAGAATTTTCATATCCTGGGACAAGTCCATATAAAAGTTAATGCAAGTCTCAATAACTACACAAAGTGAATATTTTTAACGATAAAAAGGGGAAGACCGTATAGTATGAACAATTTAATCTTTCTCAGGGCGTCTCATAATGCCTATCAGTGCTATGAATAGCTCTGAACTTGTCTATTTCTGAAAGTTCTCAGACTGTATTTTTATATATTAGGTCCCATTTTCACCCGTGGAAAACTAATACAATGGAAGGTTAGAAGCACATTTTTCCTCTCGTTATGTGAGTATTTATTGGTTGCCGAGATGAATTCTGCTCCCCAAACCTTGTACTGAGCTTCTAGTGACACGCTCTTGTTTTATTTGTATAAGCCTTCTTTCTTGTTGGGTGCTGTTTCTAGCAATGTGGTCAACTGGCATTGATCAGAGGGCTTTACCTAATTCATGATTGTGTATGAAAATATCGTATTTCCATAGTTAATTCCAACTCACATAGAAGTCAATCTTTATAAGGATTTATATAGTTGTTTTATCAACACTATTATGTTCTTAAGTCACAACTAAGAGCCAGGCGCTGTGCGTGGTACTCTAAGGTGTGTGTGTGTGACCTCTTCCTGTAAAGAATCCACAGTGTGACAGAATACATGGTTTGAATTCAAGACAGAATAAAAGCTTACATTATGAGGAGAAACCCCATAATTTAAGTTTCATGAAGGAGGATTATTTTAATTGGTAAAATTCTTTTGTGCAGATAGCATTTAATTTGGTATTAAGGACAATGTGCATTTTTATTTGGCAATTTGATCATGATATCTAAAATGACAAGCTCCCCTGGCCTTTGTGAGGCATAGCAGAAGACTAACAGGGAGCTGGAGTGGAACTAGTCTGACTGGTGGATGGTAGTTGTAAGAAAGTAACTGATAAGGAAAAAGGCCAAAAACTGGAACAAGAGCTAATCAATGGAAACCACAAGGTGTGTCTTTCACCATAGACTGGAAACTCTTATCTGATGCACCTTGATTGTCTATGTCAGACTATGTGAAAACTGCCCTCAGGTTATCAATCAAGTTTTATTCAAATTTTATTTTTATGGCTTTCGTTTTATTCTTGCGGGCATCTTAATTTGTTTTTGCAATTTTATTTTAAAATAAAAATCTTTACTTTATGCTGATATTTAGATAACGTAATATCCTGTCTGAGTTTTTCTTAAATTATTATTCAGGGGTAGTTGGAATAAGTAAAGGAAGATAAAATAAGACTGGCTGTGTTATGATAGTTCTGGAAGGTAGATGTTGGCATAGGAGATTCATTATGCTAGTCCTTCTTTTTTTGCCTGAACGTTTGAAATTAGCTACAATAAAAATTAAAAAAGAGTTTATCCGACTCTCTCAGCTAGCTGAGACTGAAAGCAGGCATGCTGGAATGCCACTGGCGGTATTTCCTGATGTTTTTGCTCCCAGGAATTCCTCTCTCTAACCTATGATACCCTTTCTCTTGCTTTTTCACGCTCTCTCCCTTGAAGAGAGAGGTCCATGAAAGGTCCAAATCAGGCGTCTCTTCCTTAACAGCATATTCTGTGCCCATCCTTACTGCACGCACACTCTTGTAGCTGGAAGTTGAAATGCTTTGTAAATTAGGTACCGAGCAGAGCACTGACTTTGTTCTCGGTACTTGACTGCCCGCATGCAGATGATGATTAGCACAAGGAAACAAGATTTGCAAACATCAAATATCTACAAACCAAATTGTGGCTAGAGTTGTAATAGAATTCTGTATAAGGTGCTGTGACCTTGCACAGGTCATACAGACATCATGGTTGCGGGTAGAAGTACGGAGAGAATTTAACAGCCACCGTGAGCACACTGATCCATGCAGTATGATCAGGGGACAGTTTCTACAATATTTCCCAAATAACTTTAGGGCCTTTAAGAATCTTCTGAAGCCTGAAGATGATAAAGGCTGCTGCCTTTTAAAACCTCTTTTCTCCCAGCAGGGAATTTTCTGCTTCTTGCAAACCTCCAGGCCACAGTGAGTCAGAACTCAGGCTTCATCGAAAGCCTTGGTATCAAATCCCAGCTCTAGCTCTTAGAAGAGCTGGCTGGCCATGTTATCTGAAAAACGATGTTTTCGCTAAGCCTCATCTATAAAGGGGGATTACTGAAAATGAGCAAAATAAGTAGTGCACAGGATTATAGGAATTTGTTCGTACCCACTTATTTTACTGAATTTTGCCTTAAGTCTTGAAATTATCTTACAATCTTTAGTGAACTGTAAGATTATGAAATGAAAAAAATTTCTTTGTATCTCATGGCCCCAAACCACATCTGTAAAAATATTTATCAATTAAATTGGTTTCTTGAACCTCATTTATTGGCTCCTATGCATATGTGCTGTATGGTCGAGAAATGTTTTCAAAGTATGGAGAATTTGGAGATTTGGGATGGTGCAGTGCCTAGGAAAGAAAAATTCTTTTCTTATGGTAGGTAGATTCTTTCCTATGGCATCTCTAATTGTGTCTTGGAGAAAGTCTTAGCTTGACTCTAGAATGCATTATCCTCCAACATGGGCTAAGTCTCCTTTCAAACAATGAGAAAATAGGCTTTGTGCTCAAAGTCATTACCAAGCACTGGCATCCAGCCAGAATTAGAAATATCTTGTTTTCATTGTATTTATTTTTATGACTTCCTCTACTTCTGGCAAATTATACTGGTTTCTACTTATTTAAAATTTCATTTTTAAAAATAAATATAGGGAGACAGTAAATACTAGTTGTAAATATACTTAAGTTTAAAAGCTATTGTGGCACATAACATCGGGGTTTAGAAGAAAAATTAACAATAGATAATATAATTTAAACTCTTATTTATTAAATGAGGAAGCCAAAGTACCACCAGATAAGTGACCTGCCCCAGACACAAAACTGATACAGCCTCTTGGTACTACAGCTCAAGGTACCTTCGACGACAGTTCTCAACCCACATTTGATGATAGACTGTCTTCTCCAGACCAACTACTGCTTCCATCCTGAATAAGGCTAATGTTCATGGATATTCGTGTGAATCAATAACAATGGAAAGCACAAGATTGCACATAATTAGGAGCCCAGAACTACCACTATGAGACAGGGAAAGGTCACAAAAATGCACTTTGCAACATTGTGTGATTCATTAGATATAAAACGTAACTAAATTTCCATATGTGTCACGGGATTCTATGTGATTTGGAAGGTCAAATATTCCATGATATGCTAGTGGACAGATATTTTTCCAAGACCACAAATCTCCCCAAGCTTGTAGCAAGAAAACTATAAAACATCTATAGTTTTAGGAACGTAAGGAAGGAAAGTATTCTGTCAACGCTGCCCAAATTCATCCTTCAGTGGAAAGTAACACCGAAATTTATGAGAAATAAAGTGTTTCGAGATACACGAGAAACTAATGGGGAGAGGGGCAGCCAGGATGCAAGGTCATTTTTTACTGTACACCTTGGCATCCGTGTACATGTTCATTTTTGAAGCTACTGAATGTTTTGCATATTTAAGAAATAAAATCCCACCTCCTTCCAAAAACATTCTTGGACCTTTTGCTATTTAGTGTCTCTGCAACTCTGGACTACTAAAATTTTTACTTTCTTATAAGAATATTCACATACAACTAGGGATTATTTTTTGCTAAATGAAGATTTTGCAGCCATTTTATGGAATATAATTGTACATATTTTACATATTTTAGATAGCAGATGTCCTTTACAAAACTTGCCATTCTTTTGAAACTGAGATAATTTTAGAAGCATAATAAAAATGTCTACAGTCATCTGAAATTCTCAATAATCATATAAAGGAATTTCAATTTGGAATAGCAGAAGGCAGTTTGTGAAAATTGTTAATTCAGCTCCACTGCACGTTTCTCTTAGTTGTAAATAGCTTCAGTTTGGTCATAAGCATTGTGCACGCAGCACTTCAAGTATGAAAGCTGGAATCACAGGCAGTCTGCAAACACAAAAGAATAGAAAGACGTGCTAGGAAATGGACTCTGGTTTCTCACTACATTACTATGGTAACCGCTAGACATTGCTCCTCCTGAAAGAAAGGATTGATTATTGCTTCTATCTTTAGCATGACTTATAGATGCCTACCTTGTAAGTCTAACGCTACCACAGCGGTGTCATCTTCTAGTCCTTCAATCACCTCACACTTGTATCTCCCATAATCTTCCAGGGTGAGGTCTGTGATGACCAGAGAAGCATCATTGTCGCTGCCTCCCTTCAGAAACACTCTACCCTGGTAGCCTCCATAGGTCTTCTTGTGGTAGCCCATGGAAACGAAAACATCCACTTCCTTGAGGTAATCTGAAGTGAGCTTGGTCCACTTAATTCGAATTTTGTGGATTCCTGAGCCAAATGCTGTAGGGTCTCGATAAAATGTACATGGCAGTGTGACATTGCCGCCTCGGTGTGAGAACACCTTGGTTTGTTCTGCTTCCACGAGTAGACGGGGGCCATTTTCTGCTATTAAGGAAAGAGAAGAAAAAAATAATGATTAATACACTTTCAGGAATTTTTTATAAAGTGAAATATGCTACATGTACGGGATATCTGACAGAGACTGGCTCTGCGAGATTAGCTTCTCAACCCAATCTCATGTGACAATACAGAAAGGCACTTGTAGTCACTAGAAGGCATCCATGAAGTAGTTATGTCTTTTGAACCAAAATAAATAATGTGTATTATAATCAGGAAGAGATATTCGATGTAGGACTCCACAGTCACCTGATTGCAGTGCTTTCATGACACACTCATTCACTATCTGTCTCCATTTTTCTTCCACATTCCAAATATCAAAAGCACAGAAACAAGACCAAGAGAAGGGAGGGAGTTCCACGCCTATGTCATCAAAGTAAAGCAAAAAATTTCAAGGTAAGTTAAGCCCCTGCCAGGCTTTCTAATACACGGAGTTTGTATTATATTTATAGGCCAAGTCTGTACATTGTGCTGTTCTGGCTGAAAAACTCAGAACACCCTCCCCGTCGTGGCTTCCCCTGGTTACACGTCTGTGTTACGTGAGTCGAGCATTTCAAACGGCATGTTTCATTCTCCCACAAAGTCCAGACATCAGAAGCCTTTTTTAGACATCAGAAAACTTCTAACAAAGTCTGGAAGATTTTGAAATATATTCCCCAGAATTTGAATGAAAAAGCATATCTAAAGTTAGACTCATTTTCTGACCAATGAAATAAGTATTTGCTTCCTCGGTCCCTTAAATAGTCTTCAGCTCCCTCTCTTCTGCTTTCTGCAGTGTCTTCTTTTGTAGTTATCTTATTGCTGCCACCTTTCCTTTGCTCGCCCTTTGATTTTCCTCCTCCCTCCTCCAGGGACTTTATTGCCTTCCAAAGAGAGCCTCATTATTCCAAGTCTGCCAACTCATCAGGGCTGCCGTTTTCTAGATACCAGCTGTTATTTGCAGATCTTGGCTTTCTCGGGGTTTCCCCCTGGTTAGCACGTCGTGCTTTTGACCTTGACACTACCTTTTGAGGACGTACAAGATTTAAAAATGAGAATGCTATTGCTCCTGGACACATATACCTTCTTGTCCATACCCAGCTTTGAAAAGCTGCTAAAGTTGCCTTTCATGAAGGTCTGCAGGCCTCCTGCTTTAGGCAGAACGTATTGAATAATCCTTGGCCGTGAACCATTTAAGATGTACAGATCACCAGGAAAAGTACCCACTCCCCTTGAGACAGATCTCAAAACTGAGTTATTTAATGGTACACATAGGATTCTGATTGTACAATAGAAAGTATCCCAAAAATAGACACCGCATTTCTGTTTTTAGCATGTAACAATCAGGAATAGTATTTTAAAATGATTTTTATATCATTGCATTTATAAAGGATCCCCAATCCTCAAAAAATTATGAATTTAACAAAGCCATCAATGCCCCCACTTTGAACAGTTAATGATCGGAGAGGATAATGGTGTCATTTAGTGTTTAACTGAAATAAATCACCAACTCAGATCATTAAGCATTTTCTTTCTATTCCATTCATTATCTTCTTATTTAGGACCACAGACTCTCAAGAGATAAAAGACAAATCTATCCAAATCTGCCTTATATATGATTTCCCCCCTACAATATTAATGGCTGCATCTAAATTCTACCTAAATATCTCTCGTTCCTTCTTTCAGGGACAAGGAAAATGTGCTGTTTGCTAAGTTTGCTGAGGGACATAGGGAATTTTTCCTCCAGTATTTTATAGTGGGACACTGGGTTTCTCATGCTCAGACACAAATTGAGATACGACACATGGCTACAAGAGGTCTCAGTTTCATCATTTTCTCAAATTATTTAGTTTGAAGTTAAAATTGATGACCAAAGAAACTGGGATAGAAGATATGGTAGTTAGGAGCAAGGATTTTAATGTGGTACAGACCTTGGTGTAACCTCATGTCCTCCATTTAATAGCTCTGTAGCCCTGGGCAAGTTTTTCAACCTCTAAGCCCCAATTTCCTTGTATATGAATCTGGATAGCGATCCCTACCATATAAAATTAACCTGTGATACATACAGGGCTCAGAACAGTGGCTGACTAATAGTAACTGTGCACTAAGAGTTAATCATTTCTACTGCCTACCTTATACATATCTTTCTGTCCAGTATTGACAAAATCTTAGCATATATTAAACTTCCACAGTTTCATTCACTAACAAAAATTTTTGTTTGTTTTTTGAGACAAGCTCTCGCTCCGTCATCCTGGTTAGAGAGCAGTGTCATCATCATAGCTCACAACAACCTCACTGTCCTGGGCTCAAACAAACCTCCTGCCTCAGCTTCCCAAATAGCTGGGGCTATAGGCACCTGCCACCACACCCAGATAATTTTTCTATTTTTTTGTAGAGGTGGTGTCTTTTGCTCAGGCTGGTCTTGAACTCCTGGCCTCAAGTGGTCCTCCCCCCTCTGTAGTCCAGAGTGCTAGGATCACAGATATGAACTTGTAAGGTTTTGAACCACGTGGGAGTGAAAAATAAATGGTTAAAATACCCCCTGTGTTGTATAGGAGACTCAGAAACCTATGCAGTTAGTGTATTCATAACTGTCCAGGATGAATATGGTCTAAATGTTATGTAAGTTTTATGCCATTAGAAGAGTTAAAGGGAAGATCAAAACCCTTATATGAGGAACTGAGCCTTCTCATTGTTTTCCTGTGGTTAACTATAAACATACTGATGGTACTTTAGAAGGGTAGGCTTCAGATTTTGTTTTTGTTTTGTTCCAACTCCAGCAGATGACTTACATGGTATAGGACTGAAAAATGATCAGATACTTCAAATCCATGGATTTCACAAAAATAACTTTTCTAACAAGCCTTTCATGTAAAATTCTAGCATTCTTATTTCTTATAGCAGGCAGAGGGGATGGATGTTTAGGTGTAGATGACAGAAGTCACTGGATGAGATTCAAACAACCTAGGAAAGATGTGTGACACATTAATGTTCATTACCCTGAACCCCCAGCATGGCCCTGAGAATAGTCACTGCTCACTGGCTTTGAGAAGCTCTCCCCTGCAGATTACAGGGCACGGGGCACTGTTGGAGGGAGTGGCCACATTGCTAGAGGAAGTGGCTACATTGCTGGAGGGAGTGACCACACTGCTGGAGGGAGTGGCTACATTGCTGGAGGGAGTGGCTACACTGCTGGAGGGAGTGGCTACATTGCTGGAGGGCGTGGCCACACTGTGGGAGGGCGTGGCCTGCCACAGAACAGGTGAGATCGGAGAAATCGGTGTTCTAGGGAGTCAAGAGCCCAGGCCTCTATGGCAGGCTCCCCTGTAGCTCTAGCTAATGGACTCTGACAAGCCCACCTCCTGAGAACACTGAGCTTTAGGCTCTTATCAGGCTCTGTGTCATAGGTTGTCATCACAGACATAAGCTAGGAAAAACTCTAAGTTGGGCAGGGGAAAGAAAAAGGACAAAGACAGGAGGGGAACCACCAGCACTGATTATAAACTCCTGCCCACCCTCACCTAGACAGTCTTGAATCTGATCACTGCCTTTAAAATCCTGGATCAGTCTGAAAGTGTTCCTTTCCAATCAAACTTTTCTGCCACCTGCATACTCCCCAACTCTTATTTATTTGGGGTGGGAAAGAACTTGGTGGATTACTTGTAATTACTCCACAGTTTGAGAGGAGAAAAGCATAAATTTGAAGTCACCTGATGGATGATTTTAGTATCTATTTTAGGTTACATAAAATAATTAAAGTGTTTTTGTTTATTTTTTGTCTGACATAGGATTGCAAAGGATGAATGCTTAAATTAAAACTGTTTGACCAATAGGATAATTCATTGCATAGCAATTAAACTGCAAAAGATAAAAATAAACCTCGATCATTTGGCTAAATATTGCTTGTTTTCCCCTTTTTTTTTTGAAAAATATAAAGGAACAAAGAAAACGAGGCAGCTTTTAAGCGTTCATTTTCCCTTTCAGAGTTCCTGTTAATGTGAAAGTTACACATAGACACTCAAATATACCGTTGAAGACCTTAATGATTGTGTCCTTAAATGAGGCCATCTGTTAAAAATATTGGTTAACTAAGGTTACTGAAGATGTCCAGTGGGGGACTGAATTTTTTAAGAGTGCAATTTGTAAGTACACAAATTTCCCATTTCTATTAGTGAGGGTCAATGTCAGTGACTTGAAAGATTTGATGCCCTTCAAAGCCCAGAGCTGTCTCCAGGGGAAACAGCAGGGCCTGGTGAGAGCACTAATGGGAACGTGAGGAACCACTGGGGCTCATTATTATTTTACAAATTCTGCTGTGAAATCCAGAGGACATCATTTGGTTTCACCAAATAACAAAAGCAAAGGCATGACCAAACAACTGATCTTGGTAGTTGCTATGAAATTTAGATGAAATCTTTTAGGACAAAAACAATTGTAGAAAAATAATTTAGAAATATGGTATTACACCATTACAAATTGTTCTCAGTTGTATTAAAAGTGTTGATTTTTTTCTTGGTAGTTAATACTCAAAGAAATACAAGTGCCAAGGAAAAGGAGAAGGGGTTGAGAACCAAAGCATATCTACCCCAACTGAACCGTGGATTGTGCAGGACAACCAGTCCTAACGTTGGCTACCTTCTTCACAGCTGTGAAGAGAGAAAACATGCCCCAGATGTTTGGGTTTTCTTTACCAATCGGAAGAAAAAAAATTAGGGAATCTATTTCAGATGGCTACCTAAGATGATAAGAAGGATATTCAAAATATATCGCTCTAAGAAAAACTCTACTGGCACCATTCGATTATCTTTTAATGTGGTAAAATATATATTTAAAAATTTGCCACTTTAACTATATTTAAAATGTACGATTCAGTGCTATTAATTGCTTTCACCACGTTGTACAATCATTAACACTATTTCTTTCTAAGACTTTCTTCTTTTATTTTTTTGAGATTGAGTCTTACTGTGTCACCCTCAGTAGGGTGGCATGGTGTCACAGCTCACAGCAAC